CCCCCCCCCATCTCCCTGCCAATGTATTTTCTAAAGTGACTGTGTTACTTGGTTTTCCCACCAATAATGTAGGAGTTCCATTTACTCCACTTAGCACTTGGTATTGCCAGGTTATTGTATTTATTTGCCATTCTGATAGATGTTTGGTGGTATTTGGTTTTAGTATTAATTTCCCTAGTTACTAGTGATGTTTTTAGCATCTTTTGATGTGTTTGCTTTGCGTGAAATATATTTTCAGTAAAGTTACATCTTTTACCCATGTTTTTAAATGGATCCCTTTATTATAATTCGGATTTGAACCTACTCGGTGTGGTGCCAGACTGAAAAGTCATTTGAACTGCAAGGTTGGTGGTTCAAGCTCACCAGCTGCTCCTTGGAAACTCTATAGAGGGTCCCTAAGGGTCGGAATCAACTCGACGGCACTTAACAACAACAACAATACACAAGTATTCTGGATTTAAACAGCACAACCCAAACCCATTACTGTGGTGTCAGTTAGGGCCCCTGGTGACCTGTGGGTTACAGAGCAGAATTACACTATAGGGTAGTCATGAACTGGCAGCCTTTCAGAAACCATTTGTGCCCTAAGAGATCTTCATATTCTGGATATGAAATCCAAGCCCATTGTTGAGTTGATCCTGACGCATACAGACTGGAGGGCAGAGAAGCTGTTCCATGTTGTAGAGTGCCCTGTGGTCTGACTCTTAGGGGATTAACTATCCCGTAGGACTTACAGGAATCTTTACAGAAGCAGACTGTTACATCTTTCTCTTGCAGAGCAGCTGGTAATTTGAACCTTCAACCTTTCAGTTAACCATTGTGCCACAAGATTCCTTATATTCTGGATACAGTCCCTTTATCAGATCATGTGGTTTACAAATTCATTTTATATTTATTCTGATGGAGTTTATCCTTTTTGGTTTGTGGATCAGGTTTTTGTGGTAGTAAACTCTGTTGTCTCTTATCATGGAGAAGATGGTGGTGGTCCAATGTTAGGGATTCAGTTTTCGGTGTGGGAGACCCAGGTTTAATTCCAGGTCGGCCACCTTCTGCACGGTCTGTCAGGGAAATGTTATAATATGAAAAAAATGGACTCTTAGAATCTGTCACATATGGTGAATGATTTTGTTTTTAAGTCTATGGTCTGCGGTTGAAGTCTGGGCTCCAGTACATAGCAAGAGTATGTAGTAGACACATCAGAAGCTGGTGTTCTGCCAACTGCTGAGCAGGTGATGACATGACGCTGAATGTGTGGATCATTTCTGTGACCTGTGTCCCACGATTAAGGAGCTCTGGTGGCAGACACACTAGGATAAGCACTGGGCAGCTAACTGAAAGCGCTATCGTACAAAACCATACTGCTGTAGCCTCTGTAAATACTCGACAAAGGTGCTTACTTCATCTGTGACCTGTGTCCCACGATTAAGGAGCTCTGGTGGCAGACACACTAGGATAAGCACTGGGCAGCTAACTGAAAGGTCAGTGGTTCAAACTTACCATCTTCTCTGTGGGAGAAAGAGGAGTTCTAATCTGTCCTACAGGATTGCTGTGAGTTGGGATCGTCTCAGTGGCGGGTGACTGCCTGAAAGGAAAGCGAGGGTAGCACTGGGGGAGCGGGGAGTGGCAGGAGAGCACAGGTGTCGGAAAGGATGGGGCTGAGGTTGATGACCCAGAAAGCAAGGAGCAGGCAACAGAGTAGAAAGAACCGTGAGTCAGCATGCACTCGGAAGAAGCAGTTCATCTGTCCAGATCTCAGCTCCCTCGCTTGTACAGCTGGGGTAGGGCAGAGATTCTGTCCAGCCCTCAGATCTGCAGATTCTAGGACGAGACCAGAGACTTCAAGATTCTACTTTTGACTCCCTCATAAACCATCACATTTTACTGGATTTTAGAATAGATTGCACTACTATTCTAATGCCTCAGGATTGTATTCCTCCAGATTTGACTAAATATGTTACTGCTGTATTTATTTATTTAAGGTTTTTATTGTGGATTGAGTGAAAGTTTACAGGGCATATCATCAGTTTTATATTCAACAAATCATAAACCTTGTTTCATTACAATGATTAGAATCCCCTCCATGTACCATCAGTTAATAGTATTTCTCTCTATCCACTTTAGTGTTTTATAAACAAACAAACAAACAAACGAACAATAAAACCACTCAGGCATATATAATAATTTACATCTCCAAAGGACACATTCTGCAAGTCTGTCTCCTGGCCAACAGCTCTTAGTCCCTCTCTTCTTAATACATGAATCTAGAGTCCTCAGCCGCTCCCCCTCTCCATGCTCCCATCTCTGCCTCCATCTCTGGCGCTGCTGCTTCTCTGGATAAGGTCCTACATTCTGCTTGTGTATTCCTTTCTTGATGGTCCTAGGGTCGTCTGTTTCTGGACTGTAAGATTAACCACGCCCCTGTTTTTGTTATAAAACTTCTACCTTTACAGTTGTGGTAGTCTCAATTAGTCATGATAACAATTACTCACATTTGAATCTTATGAATCTTATGCCCATCTCTTTTCACCAGACTTATCAGACAAGATGAAAACTATTCAGTGGGGACTCTTTCTTTCCCCCCATACTCTTATACTAAACTCCCTCTTGAAACCTTGTAAGCCAGTCACTTTGCGCCTTTATTGTTCCCTCATTTTAGGTAGCCAGTGTCTGAGTTGCCCATCCCTATCTACCCTGTGCACAGAAGGGATAGCATTGATACTTGATGTGAAGACTCCTTCCCTCTCTGTTGGTATTTAGAGTAACTACCGCTCTGAGTATAGGTCAGGTTCATCAAATTGAAGCAGTTTACCCTTGTTTTCCTTCATTAAAACAAACAAATAAATAAATAAATACCCCCCCCCCACCCCAATCTTCCTCTAGTCGATTTCTGATTATGGAGCCATTGAGGCAAGGTCAAAAGGGTACAGTATGCAAGTTTGTGCATTCTTGTGCATCTCCCCTCACTTCATATCAGCTGGATGCTTCACTCTCAGCTCTAGTCCTCTGTGTCTAAGTCCTTGTCCATGGGCTCAAGTGACCTCAGGTCTCACCACACTTTGGACTAACCAGCCCTTCATCTTCTCTCTCTCATCTCGAGGTCAATGGGATTCAATGGACTGGGGTTGAACTCAGCCTAGTTCTTCATTGGTGCCTTTCCGCCTCTTCCGCTCACCAGTAGACCAGTGTGGTCGCCAGCAAACTTACATGTTTGTTTATGTATTCCCTTTGAGTTTCAGTCTTAGAGGGGCGTTTGTTCTGAAGGCACTTAGTTGCTAGCCTTTATGTCTTCCTAACGAACAGCTTGCTTATTCTTGTAGTAGCCAGTCATGCTGACATTTTTGTTTTGGGTTTTTCCTGATGATCTTTCTTTGAAGATGTATCTCCTGTCACTGTAGCTGTTCCAGTCTGCTTGTCCTTTCTAGTGGGAATGTCTCACCTCATAAGGTTCTGGATGGGACTCAGGATTCCACCTAAGGTCCTATACTCTGTAAAGGCTTTGCACGAGGCCCATTTCACTGGGCAAATTGAAGAACCCCTTCCAACCTTCTAAGTATTCCTTTATATGTGGTTCAGAGTTCTGGGACCATCCCCTGAGCCTGCTTGGTCGGTATTCTGTGTTGTTGCAGACGGAGCTCCTCACTGCACTTCCACCCGTTCCACCATCTTGTTTGTTCTCCCTTGTTACTGCTGTATTTTGTGGCCTTGCTCTTACCTTAGGTTCATTCCCAGGCAGTTGTTTCTGTACTGCTTATTACATGGTCTACTGGGCACCTACCATGTCTGTGTGGGGCTATAGGATAAGCACTGTATTGCTAACTTCAAGGTTGGTGGTTCAAACTCAACTGCTCCTCGGAAACCCTATCCAGGGTTGCTTATGAGTCAGAATCGAGTGGACAGCGTGTTACAAGAACAACACCCCTGTGCTGAGCACTGGAAATGGCCTGGGTAGAAAGGTGATGATGATAGCAATCTGAAAGCTGGGTTAGTTGTAGAAAACTGTAGAAGGCTGAGAATTTGGAGGTAAAACAAGATTGGAGCTAAGTGGAATTATGTTGTCTCTTAGAGGGAATTAAGTGAGCTCATTTTAATTGGCTCTAACTCATGAGACTCGCAGTGTATCTAGACAGCTGTTGTGTGTAGGGTGGACTGGCTTCTGCTTCTGTGTGGCCCATCATTTAAAGGTGGTGGTGGTGATGATGTGCTGTGGAGTCACTGCCGACGCAGTGACCCATTACAGGGTTTCCGAGGCTGTAAATCTTTATGGGAGCAGAAAGCCTCATCTTTCTCCCATGGAACAGCTGGTAGTTTCAAACTGCTGACCTTGTGGTTCACAGCCTGATTGGTAACCACTGTACTACCGGAGCTAAGAGTAGGTAGTTCTTATTTTAGTTTTTAAATTTTTTTCTAAGTGCTTGAAAAAACATTAAAAAGAAACTGTGTTATGGCATTTGAAATGTATATGAAATTTAACTTGTAGTGTTCCTGAAGTAAGAATTTTGTTCTATAACACAGCTCCGCTTTCGTGGCACAGTGGTGGAGCTAAAGATCGCGCCGAAAATACTCTCTGGCTCTTTTTAACTGGTTTGGTCCTTTACTCAGAAAGGGTGCTGATTGACCTCTGACCTAGAAGCCCTAAGTGAGGTTAAACTAAAGTGAAAGGGGTCCTATCTGTGGGGTAGACTCTGATCGTTGAATAAACTATGATTAAGACTTCCTTTCTTTTAACAGCGCTATCGTACAAAACCATACTGCTGTAGCCTCTGTAAATACTCGACAAAGGTGCTTACTTCATTCAGAAATCATTTACATCGTTACCATGAAGATGAAATTGACCAAGAGCTGGTGGTCCCTTGCCCAAACTGTGTATTTGCATCTCAGCCCAAAGTCGTGGGAAAGCACCTGAGAATGTTCCATGCTCCCACTCGGAAAGTGCAGAACTACACAGTGAACATTCTAGGTGAAGGGAAATCACCCAGGAGTGATGTTGTAAGTTTCACATGTTTGAAATGTAACTTTTCAAATACTTTGTACTACAGCATGAAGAAGCATGTGCTCATTGCCCATTTCCACCACCTAATTAACGCCTACTTTGGTCTGCGGACTGAGGAGGTGGGCGAGCAGTCCCAGGCCAGCGCTGCTTTTCCTGCTCCCGACAAATATTACTGTAAGAAGTGCAGCGCGAGTGCCAGCAGCCAGGACGCACTCCTGTACCACATCCTGACTTCCGATATCCACAGGGACTTGGAGAATAAGCTGAGATCAGTGATTTCAGAACACATTAAGAAAAGTGGACTTTTGAAGCAAATGAATATTGCTCCGAAACCAGCTGCAAGTTTGGCTGTGCCACCTAACAACTGCGCTCCAGCTGTTCCTGCCACGCCGTCTTGCTTCCACCTTGCCTTGCCACAGAATAGCCAAAACCAAACCCTAGTTCAGCCTGTCTCTGTGGCTTCAGGCACTTCTGGGGGTCTCACCCCCCAACCCCCCTCTGCCATTGCCCAGTCCCAGGTGGCACTGGTCTCCAACCCTCTACCAGTGGGCCAGAATGGCCTGGCGCTGCCAACGCCGGCCCCTCAGCCTGTCTTTGTGTCTCACGGTGTGTCCCTGAGCCAGCCTGTGAACCCTGCCATCCTGCCCCTGAGCCAGCCCATTGGACCAGTAGCCAACTCAGCTGAGACTGGTGTTCTCCCCATGAACCAGACCATCCGCCCTGGGATTCTACCCCTCAGTCAGCCTGTGGGGCCCCTGACAAGACCCGCTGGGCCTGGGGCTCTCCCAGGGATCCGTTCCACGGGGCCTGCTGTCCTTCCTGTGGGGCCTGCCGTTGGCCCTGGGGTTCTGCAGGCCATCTCGCCAGGGGTAATCTCTGTGGGCCGGACAGTCCCCCCAGCTGTACTGCCCTCAGGCCAGGTGGCTCCTACAGGAGTTGTCCCCTCAGGACAGACGGCTTCTTCAGGTGTCCTTCCTGCTGGCCAGATGGTCCAATCGGGGGTACTTCCCATAGGCCAGACGGCCTCATCCGGTGTGTTCCCTGCTGGCCTGACAGTCCCTTCCCGAGTGCTTCCCCCTGGCCCGACGGTCCCATTGAGGGTCCTCCCTGCAGGCCAGAAGGCTACTTCTGGAACACTGCCCGCCACTCAGGTGGTGCCAGCCGGACTGCTTCCTCCAAGCCCAGCAGTCTCATCCGGGGTACTGCCTGTGGGTCAGCCCGTGAGTCCCGGCGTCCTTCAGCTCGGCCAGCCTGTTGTATCAAGTGTTCTTCCAGTGGGTCAGCCCGTGAGGCCTGGTGTCCTTCAGCTCAGCCAGCCTGTTAGCAGTGGCCTCCTGCCTGTGAACCAGCCAGTCCGGCCCGGCGCTGCCCCCAGCACCACCTTCCTCACCTCAGGCTCGATCCTCAGACAGCTCATACCCACGGGGAAGCAGGTGAACGGCATCCCCACCTACACACTGGCGCCGGTCTCTGTCACTCTGCCCATGCCACCAGGGGGGGTTGCGGCCCCAGCCCCACCCCAGTTGCCCCTCCAGCTGCTACAACCTGGGGCAGCTGGTGTGCCCCCTCCGCCCATGGTGGTCAATACTCCTCAGAACGTGTCTGTTCAGGCCCCGCCGCCCGTGTTAGGTTCGAACCAAGCCCTCAAGCAGGCGAAGCAGTGGAAAACTTGCCCCGTCTGCAACGAGCTCTTTCCCTCCAACGTGTACCAGGTGCACATGGAGGTGGCGCACAAGCACAGTGAGGCCAAGCCCAGTGAGAGGCTGGAGCCCGAGAAGCTTGCAGCCTGCGCACCATTTCTGAAGTGGATGAAGGAGAAGACTGTCTGGTGTCTGTCCTGCAAATGTCTTGTCCCAGAGGATGAGCTCATCCGCCATCTGTTGACACACGGCTTGGGGTGCCTGTTCTGCCCCTGCACCTTCCACGACCTCAGGGGCCTCTCTGAGCACGGGAAGACCAAGCATCTGGGGAAGAAGAGGCTGCCTGTGGACTATGGCAATAGGGGCTTCCAGCTGGACGTGGACGCCAGTGGCAGCCTCCGCTTTCCCCACATCGACTTCATCACCCTCTTGCCGAAGAAGGAGCTGGGCGAGCGGGAGGTCTACTTGGCTGTGCTCGCAGGGATACATTCGAAGGCGCTCGTCCCTGTGTACATTAAGGTGCGGCCTCAGACCGAGGGTGCCACCAGCAGCCCTGACCAGCAGGTGCTAAGCTGCCCCTTCTGCTTTGGTACCTTTGTGACCACGGAGGCATACGAGGTGCACCTGAAGGAGAGGCACCACATCACACCTACTGTGCACACGGTCCTGAAGTCGCCCGCATTCAAGTGTATCCACTGCTGTGGAGTCTACACTGGGAACATGACCCTGGCGGCCATCGCTGTCCACCTGGTGCGGTGTCGGAGTGCCCCCAAGGACAGTAGCACCGCCCTGCAGATGCAGCCCAGCTTCATTGACAACAGTGGGCTGCTCCTGGTCAGTGGGGAGGTGCTCCACGAGGCCAGCTGCTCTGTCAAGAGGAAGTTGCCCGATGGCCACGCTGGGACCGGTGACCCGAGGGCCGGAGAGGAGCAGCCCCTGGTCATTGGCACTGACACCGCTCTGGAGAAGACGGTGGGCGCTGGGCCTGTTAAGAGACAGAAGAATGAGAGCAGGACAGACGGACCACTCATCAGTGAGGATGCGCTTCAGATCCTAGCATTGAACCCCAGAAAGTATGAGGACCGTTCCTACGAGGAGAAGAAGCGGTTTTTGAGGGATTATTTCCATAAGAAACCATATCCCAGTAAAAAGGAAATAGAACTGCTGTCTTCACTCTTGTGGGTGTGGAAAATTGATGTGGCTTCATTTTTTGGGAAAAGAAGATATGTTTGCATGAAAGCCATAAAAAATCACAAACCTTCTGTACTTTTAGGCTTTGACATGTCTGAACTTAAAAACGTTAAACACAAATTGAACTTTGAGTATGAACCTCAGAACTTGTAAAGAAATAAGAAACCTAAGTTAGGCAGTGTGTAGTTTTTCCAATTGAAGTTTTATGATGTTCTATTCTCCACTGGTGTGTTTGGACTAATGAGTTTGGTGGTCTTTATGCTGCTCTTCTGAGGGTTTCACGTACTCGGAAAGACTACTACATAAGGAAGTGAGTAGGGTTTCACATTTATTGTTTTCCTGTGGTTTAATTTTGTAATTATTTGTTTAACAACCCCACCCCACGTCATGTAAATGAAATCTTTGGTATTTCATGCACGCATTGTTTTCCCAGTAGTGTCAGTGTTGCCATATAAAAACACATCCAAAATGCTTTTTGGCTGTTTGAGAATATTGACTAGTTGTGAACTAAGGCATTGATCTCCCCAAGGGCTCCTCGAGCAGCAGGTGGCAGGGGTGGTGAGCACTCAGATGATCCCACTGCACTCTGCTTTCTCTGTAAAGTACCTGCCGATGAGCTCAGCACTCAGATGTAGCCCTTTCAGCTCTATTTTAGTAGGTCTCATAGAAAACCAGATGTTTTCATTAGTTAATATAGCCTGAACCGGGAGTCTGTATGTAGCTCATATATCAAAAGAGTTATTTTACAAATAAAGTAATTCTGTAGGTGCAGAAATACTTGTCAGCGTAGATTTTCCCCTCTTTTTGATATGGTGATAAGTACTTTATCCATTCAAAGGTAAGACAATAAATCTTTAGTGCCTTTAGAATAAACATTTATGAAAAGTTTCCTAATTTAACTGCTCAGTAACTAGTAAAAGGGAAGGATTGTGTGTTACTCAGGAATAAAAGTTTTGCCCCTGAGTGTGGTTATGAATTGAAATTTAAACTTAGGTTTTCAGGGGATAGGGTGAAGTAGCTGGGCCAAGTGGTAACAACATGGTTGGTACATCAGTCTGTTTGATGACGTTTCCTAGAAATCAATTCAGTATTGGGACTTTCTAATGGGACGGTGAACTGGTCGTCTCCGTTGTATTCTTTGGGTTACTTAACGCACCAGAGCAGCAAAAACCGTCTGAGGATTGAATGAGCGTCTGGGAAATACAGCAGTGTCTTGAATGGATTGTCAAATGGAGACATTTGCATGTATGGTTGTCCTGTGCATTTTTAAGGCGATTGTGAAACTCGTCTGTAATTGTCAGCGTTCCTCTGTTATAAATTTAAAATGAGAGCTTGTTGGACTTTATTTTTTTTTAATCTGTTGTTTTCAGAGTGTCTATTTTGAATTAAAACTTGTTACACCACTGTAAAATAGAACTGTTTAACTTCTTTTAGCAGTTAAAACATTACTGTGTCTCTCATATGAATAACTTAAACATGGAAATATGAGGCGTCTTCTGAAAGTTCGTGGAAAAATTCCAGAATCTTTTAATGTTCCCACGTTTAACTTTCCCATTTCCTCACAAACCTTTTGAAGGCCCCTTGTAGATACCACTTTTATTTTCTAAAAAAAAAAAACAAAACCCAAAACATTACTTGCTGTTGTGAAAATAAACCCACAAAAAGGGGCCAAGATCGGTGTGGTAAAGGCTCTTTTTTCACATTGGCCCCCCCAATACTGGAGAAGAAGGGTACTAGGGCTGTGAGACCCAGTGTGAGTGTGGTGGGCTCACTGCCCTGTGAACTGGGCTGCTCTAGATCACACTGTTGCCACTGGGCCAGATGAGGGGAGAAGACCCCATGTGCTTCATCGGATGTTGAGTAGCAACCCTGACTTCCCCCACTAGATGTCAGTAGCACTCACAGTTGTGTCAAACAGAACCTTCTCCAGACAGGAACACACTGTCCCTGAGAGGCAGAATCATCCCATGTTACTATTGTCGCCCCAGGAGTCTGATTTCTAGTGGGTCTTCCATACCAAGGCTTTTTATACTTGTTACTAAACACATTTGTCGGCCAGAAGTTGATAGGTGTTGTGCTTCAGGCAGCAGGTAGAGAGCTATGGTAAGAAAATGAGTAAACTTAGTCCATGAAAGTGAAAACAAAGTACAGATGGATAGTTTAGTGCTAAAGACTTTGAGACTTATTTAAAAGATGGTTAGAAATCCAGATGGGAAGGAGACAGTTCAGTTTCTTACATGATTGTTAATAAAACACTTTAAAACGAAGCTCTCTACTTATATAGGAACAACAGAAAATATTTAAGTATCTAGTTAGAAGCTAAATGCAGCATACTGCTTTGCCATCTTTGAATTGTGTTTTGCTTTTAGTTTGAGAATTACTGGCAGGCCCTGGATTACTCCTGTCTGGCGAATGTCGAATCTGTAGTATGAACCACTCCTCACTACCCCCTAACTCGGAAACTGCCTGAGATTGGGCCTGGTGGTGTCCTTACCCCTGCCTTGTGAGGAAGCAACGTTGGGCGCTCTCCACACCCAGCCAGGCCTGCCCCCCACAGCTGGGAGGCGAAGGTGTTTGCAGGGTGAGCGGTTAGGTTGGACCTCATGTTGAGTGGAAGGTTGCCGGACTGGAGCCCTGGCTTTCCTTTGCATAGCCTGGTTGCAAGCAGTGTGGTGGCCCTGGCCCCCTGTCCCCAGCCCTGGCCCAGCCTGGCACCATGTAACCCAGGCCAGGTTCCTAGGGACAGGGGTAGGGAGAGTTCAGGCATGACAGTGATGAGATTGCGGAGGGGCTGTGGAGTCCTTACACTGTCGGCAACATGTAGCAGTTCAAAACGGTGTTACCGTGACTGTTTCATGGTAGAGATGTTTTAGTTATCTGGACATGTTCTCTAGTATTTTTTATTCATAGAAAGGTACCTGTATGCAGGTCTGCATCATTTAATGTCCAAGATGTTAAAGTGTTGTCGAGTCAGTTCTGACTCAGTGATTTCCAAGGAGCAGATGGTGGGTTTGAACCCACAGGTTCTGTGAAACAGGGCGTTCTATGTGGACACTGGATGAACATGTATGTCCATGGGGCTCCCAGGCCCACTGGTCCAGGGGCTAAAGTGTGGAACATGACCAGGCAGTTCCTGCTGCAGACACCTCAGGGGAGCGTTTTGCCAAGTCCTGCCAGGCTGTGGCCACCTTCTCTGCTAAGCCAACTGCAGGCAAGGCCAGCTCACCGGTGAGAACTTGCCTGGGGAGATGCCTGTGCAGGCTAAGGGAGTTGGGGGGCTCTCGAGCCAGGGCTAGGGCTTTGAGGGGGCATACTTTTCAGGAACTAGACCTGCCAAATTGTGGGAGCTGAGGGAGATGGGACCTCCATCATTGCAGTCAGTGGCTTTAGCCCGCCTTCAGACACCAGGGTGCTCTGGCACACGAGTTGTCAAACACAAATTTACCTACACCATGAGCCTCAATGATCAATGGTAATGATACACACAACCTGTGTTGATTTGGGGCTTCTTGTCTGGGAAGACCATCTTATAAAAGATTAAAAACTCAAAGCCTACTAGGAGCCTTTAGACCCACTGTGTTGTCAAGCTAGAAACAGCCAGAAATAATGAGCAGCCATTCTCACAATGTACGTACTGATGACAGACAGGAGCGGAGTCACTATGTTTAAACAGAAAATATGAGCCCAGTTTCTGCACCACACGGACATGTTTAAGGAGCCCTGGTAGTGTAGTAGATTATGAGCTGGGCTGCTAACCACAGGGTCAACAGTTCAAATCCACCAGTAGCTCCGAGGGAGGCTTTCTGTTCGCATAAAGATTTACAGCCTCGGCAGCTCTGTGAGCCGGAAGCCATTTGACGTCACAGTATCACACCACCACCATACATGTTTGCTGTGTATAAATTTAATATTGGGAGGTCATGCTTTCAAATATAATTTCAGAATTAGTTTTCTTATTTCTCAGGAGTTAATTTTCAGTTTATAATTCATGGTATGAAACGTTTGTATTGCTACATTACTTGCCTAAAAGTTGTATTTCCCATTCATTATCCCTCCTGTTTTCATCTGAAAAATGGGGACCGTAGGTCTTGTTTCAGGGATTGTGTGAGGGGAAAGGGGAAAATATGGCAGGCACAAGGTTAGGGTGATTAGTTCATTTCCTTATAAGCACCAGCATTCTTTGATTTATTTAAAACACAACTGAAACATCAGTACATTTTGCTAACTCGGAAGCAAGAAGTTTTTATTCTTTGATATATAAAAACAAGAAAACTTTAATATATAATAGTACACAGTATTTTTTTTTTTTTTTTGAAGAAAACGGCACAGTACAGATCGGGGTGGAGAAACACACCCAAGCTGCTCATAACTCCCAGAACTATGAACAGAAACGCGCAAGTATCTTGTCTTTCTTTTTAAAAAGTATTCCCATTTGCTTAACAATGTGGTAAGAAAAATAACTTTCCTTCTTGGTAGCTGACCTAGTTATTCAAGATGCTTTAAAAAAAAAAAATAAAGGACATTTCATTTTTGGCAGTAACTAAGCATTACTTTTGGTTTGATGATCCTTGTCTTTGTAACAGCATGGCAGACAAGATGCTATTAGAGCTTGCTGTCCCCCTCCGAGGACCGACCGGAGGGCACTAAGCACGGCATTGTTGCCCTGGACATGCTGGAGGAGGAGCAAGTGGCCCACCAGATCAAACCCAAATACAGGAAACCACAGTCACTCCATCAGAGAGTTCTGCCCAGTAAGTGTCTTCAGTCATACAATCCAGATACATTGATAATTCCTGGTGATTGGAATGTGAAAGTTGAAAATAAAGAGGAAGGAATGTTAGTTGGAAAACAGGCTTAGGCAATAGAAATGATGCTGGAGATCACATGATACGATTTTCCAAGACCAGCAACTTATTCGTTGTAAGTACCTTTTTTCACCAACATAACAACAACTATACACATGGACCTCGCCAGATGGAACACACAGGAATCAAATCAACCACATCTATGGAAAGAGAGGATGAAAAAGCCCATTATCACCCCTAAAACAAGGCCAGGAGCCAAATGTGGAACAGAAAATCAGTTGCTCATCTGCAAGTACAGGCTGAAACTGACAAGAATTGTCTACGAGAGCCAAAACTTGACTTTGAGTATTGTGGTTGTTGTTATGTGCCATCGAGTCGGTACCGACTCATAGCGACCTTATATGCACAGCAGAATGAAACACTGCCTGATCCTGGGCCAACCTCACAATTGTTGTCCATCGATGCTGCCACTTGGCCAATCCATCTCATTGGGGTCTTCCTCTTTCTCTCTGACCCTCCACCTTAACCAAACATGATATCCTTCTCCAGTGACTGGTCCCTCCTGACAATATGTCTGAAGTACGAGAGATGAAGTTTGGCTATCTTGGCCTCCAAGGAGCACTCAGCCTGCACTTCCAAAATGGATCTATTGGTTCTTTTGGCAGCCCATGGCACTTTCACTGTTCTCCTCCAACACCACAACTCAAAAACATCAATTCTTCTTGTCTTCCTTATTCACTGTCCAGCTTTCACATGCATATGAGATTATTGAAAATTCCATGGCTTGGGTCAGGCACACCTTAGTCCTCAAGCTGACATCGCTGCTCTTCAACCCTTTCAGGAGGTCTTGTGCAGTAGATCTGCCTAATGCAATACATCGTTTGATTTCTTAACTGCTGCTTCTGTGAGTGTTGATAGTTGATCCAAGAAGAATGAAGTCCTTGACTACATCAATCTTTGAGTATATCCCACTTGAATTGAGAGACCATCCCAGGAATACATTTGATGCATGAAATACCGAGGCTTGAAGACCAGAGGAGTTGTGAGATGATGTAAAGAACTTCATACATGAATAAAGTAAAAGGTCATTGGAAAGACAGATAAGAAAGAAAAGGCCAAAGTGGATGTCAGCAGAGACTAAAACTTGCTCTAGAATGTAAAGCAGCTAAAGTAACTGGAAGAACTGAGAAGACAGTGTTAATAGGAAATGTCCAAAGATCTGGTGTTAGAAAAATCAAAAGGTAAGAACATGCTCAGCATTTGATGCAGGAAGCATCCAAAAAGATGATAGGAATACAGTCACAGTACCAAAAAGAAATGGTCGATGTCCTACGAATTCAAGAGGCAGCATATGATCAAGAAACAGTGGTACTGAAGGACGAAATCCAAACTGCGCTAAAGGCACTGGTGAAAAGCGAGTCTCGGGAATTGACGGAATACAAATGGAACTCTTTAAACAAACTGATGCAGTGCTGGAGGCACTCACTAGTCTATGCCAAGAAACTTGGAAGACAGCTACCTGGCCAACCAACTGGAAGAGAGCCAGATTTGTGCCCACTGGAAAGAAAGATGATCCTATAAAATGAAGAAATTATTGAACAATAGCAATATCACATACAACTAAAATTTTGCCCAAGATAAAAAGTGGTTGTAGCAGTGCATTTTGACAGGGATCTACCATAAATTCAAGCTCTAGTCAGAGGAGGATATGGGAGGAGGGATAGCATTGTTCGTTTCAGATGAATCTTGCTTGAAAGAGATTATCACAAAGATGGTTACTTGTGCTTTACTGACTTGCAGAGGCATTTGACTTGTGGATCATAACAAACTATGGATAACACTGTGAATACGGGGAATTCAAGAACACTTATTTGTATTCATGGGGAACTGTACATTTGTTCAAACAGATCAAGGGGGGATATTGCCTTGAATAAAATCAGGAAAGGCTTGTGTCAGGGTTGGATCATTTTCACTGTATTTATTCAGTATGTATGCTAAGCAGATAATCTGAGAAGGTGGACTATATGAAGGAGCCTTCAGTATGGATTGCACCTCAGTGAAAAACAGATATCCTCACAACTGGACCACTAAATAACATGATAAATGGATAAAGGATTGAAGCTGTCGAGGATTTCATTTTACTTGGATCTATAATCATTGCTCATGGAAGCAGCAGTCAGGAAATCAATGCATTGCCTTGGACCAGATCTTTTGCAAAAGAGCTCTTGAAAAGGTTAAAGAGAAAGATGCCACTTTGAGGACTGAGGTGTGTCTGACCCAGGCTGTGGTGTGATAGGCATGTGAAAGCTGGACAATGAATACAAAGAAGACAGGAAAAGATTGGATATTGGGTTGAAGAATATTGAAAGTAGATGGACTGTGAAAAGACGATCTTCCCCGCTTCCCGGCCCCCAAGGAGATCTCTGACGCAGTGGCTCCAATGATGGGCTCAGAGGGTTGAGCTCCATTCTCTTGTACGTGGGGTCCCTATGAGATGGAAGGAAAATAATGTACAGAATTCAAGAAAAAGGAAAACTTTGACACACAGTTTTCTTTTTTGATAGCGTGTGAGAACTCAGCCATGAGGCAGTATTGTCTGGGAATACATCTTCTCCGTGTAAACGGAAGAAGCTTATTTGGTCAAAGTTTAGTTCCTGACGTATGAACTGTTCATGTTCCTCCCTGACATTGTATTCCATCACAAAATACAGTTCATAAAAATTTGTTGGCGCAGACACCTGTAACCCTTTAAAGTTATTACATATGTAAATGATTAGAGGCTCAAAGGGGATTGGCAGTAATTAATCTGTTAAAATTTACTAAAGCTCATGTGATTGTTGGTAAAAAATGAGACCTGGCCAGTACCCTCAGGCCTCCATGGGTGAGGGTTGGTTTTTGACACAATGAAATGACCACTTGACCCTCTTACCAACAAACCTGGCACCATTACACCCCCATAGACTGAGGGAGCCCCTCGGTGGATGCGGTGTGTGCAGTGCCCAGCTCCTGCCAGGCAGGAGAAAGGTGACAGAATCATGTATGACCACACCTCTCAAGTCTGGCGTGTTCATGTTTCTCAGTGGAACACAACTCCATCCAGTCAGCGATGCTTTCACAGAATGCTGGCAAAAATTGACTTGACCATTTGACGAACGGGATTTTAAAGCTTAAGTTTTCAAGGCTTATAGTAAGCATTTTCTGCACGTGGTCAGATCCTTTACTCTTAGTTTACAGAGGAGCCAGAAATTGCATGTGTGCCTCAGTAGAACTTCTGTGACGAAATCCTATAAAAATAGAATATATTTTATTCTAGCCAGCCAGCGAGGAGGGTAAACAAATAAAAAAGGAGCAGGTAGAGTGTATACAGTTATTTTTCTTATATTACAACTGGAATAAAGATTTAAAAATATTTCCCTGTGGAAATGGTACCCATCTCAAAACCATGTGTCAAGTTTGGCCCAGCGCCTCTGCAGCGCCAACCGGCGTAGGGGACCTGACTTAAAGGGCTCCCAGGAGCGGCTAGAGGGTGACTGCTGGCCCGTGCTCCTCCACGCCCCCTGGAGGTAGGGCGAGGCTGTGGCGCGGATCTGCTTTGAGGAAGCTGAGCAGTCTGTGGATGCTGCTGTTGCCCTCACGCCCCGAGGCAATGAGGGTGAGGTCCATCCCGGGGCAACCAGTGCCCCAGGCTGGCTCCGTTGATGAAGACTCCAGCTGTGTCTGGGGCGCTGGCTGGGGCTCCAGAGTGCCCTCGATGACAATGTCAGCCTCCTCATCACTCTCCATCTCGTCTGGGTGCAAGTTCTGCAGCACATGCGCAAGCGGGAGGCTGTGAGGGCTGGCTGTGCTGTCCGTGGACTGGCCGGAGCTGCCCGACGTGCGGCTGCTGCGCACCACGTTGTTCCTCTGATTGGCTGGCTTGACCGTGATGATGAGGTTGTGACTGTTGGCAATCATCATGTCCGTAGCCTGGTCCAGTGTCTTCCCAGCCACCTCGATGCCGTTCACCTCGAGCACCTCGTCGTTGACGGCCAGCAACCCAGTGCTTTCTGCAAGACCACCGGGCACCATGCGGGAGATGAAGATGCCCGGGACCTTCTCGAGACCCTGGGCAGTCACCCGCACGCTGGTGCCATCCCGGATGTAGAAGCCCAATGGCTTCTCGCAGCCGTGCCGGTACAGCCTCACCCTGCGGTGCGTCTCGGGCAGGATGTCCACGTCGATAATGGAGGAAACTGGCCGGAAGTCACGCGGCAGGCCAATGGCGGGGGGTGGGCGGCGGCGCAAGCCCTCCTCCCGCAGAGCCGCCAGTACCCTCTTCTTCCTGGACTGGGAGCTCGCCCCAAAGCTGCAGCCGTCTGCCTCCTCTGTAAGAGCAAAAAGATCCCGGTTAAGGGGTTGAGGCAGGAAGGGACATCTGCAGCACTAAGGGCTACCAACCAAATCATGTCTCAGGTGACTAGCAGTGCCCCCCACGGCATCACCTGGAAGTGGGGCTGCCGATTCGGCTCACTGTGTCTCAGGGGTCCTCCTCCCAGGAACCACCTGGACTAATCCTGGTTGCCTCAGTCCTGCAGGTTAGCAGAGGAGTGGACGCCTGTGGGCCTGCTCGCGTGAGCTCCAAAACTGACCTTAGCAACCAGCCAATGATTCACGATTGTTGCTCGGTGCTCTCAAGTGGCTTTTTGACTCGCCGACCCCCCTTGTGTCAGAGTAGAACTATCTCAGGGTTGTCCTTACAGGGGCAGCTGGCTAGATCTGTCTCCCTCAGAACTTAGCTACCAGTGCCACTGGGGTTCCGTGATGAATGCTTAAGGCAGGAGTGAGGTGGCAACAAAGAGACTGCATGGGACTTAGTGCAGGGTTAGGGTGCCTTGAGAGTTTACACTGAGTGGGCTGCTAGGCGGACTATGAGCTGTGTCCGTCAGTGGCAGAGAGGTAGAGACTGACAGTGGAGAAAGCTGCCTGGCTGAGAGAAGAGCTGTTCCATCAGAGGGGTGTGTGTGTGTGGGGGGGGGGGGGGGTAGTGGCTCATCCTGAGTTGTTCCTGTGATTTGCAAGTTGGTCCCATCTCAGGTTACAGCCTGGGAGTTCTGGGGGCTACTGTAACGGAATAGCAAACTGCAGACAAGTGGACATTGCCTTGGGAGGGCGGGGGCAGCTGGCACTTGATCTCTTGCCACATAGGAACTGGCTTTGTGTTGATTCGGATTCCTCGTAAGTGGAGATGATTCCTTACGATCATGCATTACTGGAGGCAACTGTATGTTGAGGCAGGGTGTGTGACAGAGAAATCTCTGCTCTCGCCTCTTCTCAACTACAAATCTCTGCGTGTGACTTTATCAGTCAAAATTCCTCTTTTTTTCACCAAAAAGTGTTCAAATGTCCCATTCCTAAGATTCCAACCCTGGTTTTTAAGATACCTTTTTTACAATGACTAAAGTTGTCACAGTTTCTTTGTAAAGCTTTATTAAAAAAATTGACAGTCTCCACAAAGAAAACAAAATGTACTCCCTTCTCCATATTCTGGTACACATTTTCAGTAGATCTGAATTAAAGCTTATTTCCGCACTTTACTTTCAACAGAGTGAGAAGTCTCTCTCTATAAAACTTACGATTATGTTTTCACACTAACGATGATTCTAGGAAATACTTTCTTCTAAAATGAATGGATTCCTGCGTGGTGGTGTAGGATAAGCGCTGGATTGTGCACCAAAGGTCAGTACTTCAAACCTACCAGCCATTCCATGGAAACCCTATACAGGGTTGCTCTAAGTTGGAACCAACTCCATGACCCTGTGGATATTGGTACATCTCTCTGAAATGGCTTACAGCTTTTCTGCCTTCTGACAAAGCCTTGTCACCCAAGACAAGGACTATGAAGTCACAGAACCTGGCTCTCACAGTTTCCATGCTGTTGTCCTCGGGAGAGAACGTTCTAACTGGACTTCAGCAAAGGAGGAGGATGTGGCCATGGAAGGGCAAAGGAAGCAGTCTGCTGTGAATAGGGGAGAAGGATGGTGAGGGGTGTGTGTGGGGATGAGTGGGAAGGTTGTGAGCACAGATTGGGGGGTGTGGAGGGGGTCATTAGGAAGAGGGGCTGCAAGGGTAGGAAAACAGCTAAGGACTGTGGGGGGGGGGTGCATGTGCTGTGAGGGTGGAGAAGCCATGAGGATGGGGAGGGACTTGTGAGGAGGAAGTCTGTGATCACTTGGGGGGCGGTTGTGAGGGTGGGAGCCCATAAGGACACATGGATCGCACCCCATCCGGGAAGAGGCCAGGTAAGTACTTCCACTTTGAAGGCTAGGCCCTGTCTCGTTTCCTGATGAGGACCAGACATGCACACAGAGGCCAGCTACCCAGGGACCATCTGGAGTCACTGATGAACTCACGGGGGGCTCCAGGACTGTGCTTCCTCTTGGCAGCCAAGTGGGGCTGGCTGGAGCAAGCTCAGAACTAGAGGAAACACCTTGGTTCCCTTGACATTCAGGGACCACTGTGTCAGGCAGCTGAAACCCAGAATACTGTCCTGGGACTTGCTGCCTGGGAAGTGGCTCCCTCAGGATGCCTGTGATGGGACCCGTGGGTGGGTGGGGTATCCTGTGGCCACCACTGCAGAAACAACTGGAAGCATTTAATGAATTCACATTGGCCAACATGCTCACAACTTCTATATGCTAAGACTCCCTCACTTTGAAAAAGGTAACATTTTGATGTAACTGTGGACAGCACTTTGTCTTTCTCTTGGCAGGCCGCTGTTACAGTAACGGTCTCTCAAAAAACATGGCGCTGTTATTGGCTAATGCACTCTGATGCTAACCAAAAGTCCACTGAGAGACTCCTGGGAAGCAAGACCCATTGGTTTTCTTCAGAAAGATGAGTCAGTGAAAGTTACAGAGCACAATCCTACTCTAACAGCAGCTGTTGGTAGTGATGACAGGTACATTATGACAAAAATAAAAACCGCTTAAGGCAACGTTCCAGTCTACACACTGTTGTAAGGGTCCCAGACATGCACTGACTTAGAAGGCAGCCGTCAAAGACTGCAGTGCTCACACCCTTTGTCCCCACGAACCGAACAGGTCAAGTTCTCCACTGTTCAGCCTAGTGTGGGAACAGTGCCACAGGAGTTCTGGGGGAGGGGAGAAACCGAAACGGTGCTCTCTGAAGCAAACAGGAAACAAACTTCAAAATGGTGTAAGTCTTTCATGATTGGCAATTACTTTAAATGTAAATGGACTGAACTCTCCAATCAAAACTTAGAGACTGGCTAAATGGATAAAAAAGCTCGGTTCCGTATCTTGTCTACAAGAGACTCACTTTAGATCTGAAGACACTGGTAAGTTAAAGGTGAAGGGATGGAAAAAATGAGAATAGTACACAAAAGATCAGGGTAGCTGTATTAATATCTGGCAAAATAGATTTTAAGTCAAAAAGAAGGATGTACAATGATAAAAGGGGCAGTTCATCAAGGAGACATGATAATCAAAGCACCTACCAACACAGCCCGAAAACATGAAGCAAATGCCAACAGAATTGTAGAGAGAAACAATTCTGCAATAATAGTTGGGACTTCAACATTTTTAGTAAGAGAAATCAAGACAGATCAAGGACTTCGGGCGTGGCAATGTAGGATCAGCACTAGACTGCTAACCACAGATTGGCAGTTCAAACCCACAAGCTGCTCCTTGGAAACCCTATACAGGGTCGCTATGAGTCAGAACATACTCGATAGCACTTAACAACACCAACAACAGAACAATAAGGAAACAACTTGAAAAACACTATAAACAATGTAGACCCAACACACACACACACACACACACACACATGCCTCAACATCAGAATGCACATGAATCTTCTCAAGCTGGACAATACGATGAGCCACAAAACAAGTGACAATGCATGTAACTAAGGTGAAATCGTACAAAGCATCTTCTATAAACACAATGAAATAAAACTAAAAGTCACAGATGGAAATTAAATCTGTGGAAATTAAGCAGTACACTGCTAACTCAATGGGTTAAAGAAGCAATCACAAGGAAAACCAGAAAATACTTTGAGAGGAATGAAAACAAAAATATAACGTACCCCAAATTATGGGATCTATAAAGGCAGTTACTTGGAAATTTATAGCTATAAGTACCCATATTTAAAATGAAAGATCCCAAACCGACAGCCAAACTTAACACCTTGAGGAACTTTCAAAAGGCGAGTAAGTCAAAGCTAGCAGAAGGAAAGAAAGAATAGATAGAGATAAGACCTACAGAATCAATGCAATCCCCATCAAAAGTCCAACGGCCTGTTTTCAGAAATGGAAAAGTGGATCCTCAAGTATCTAGGGCACTGCAAGGAACAATCTCACAAAAGTAAGAGAACGTGCCCTTCCCAATTTCAAAACATGCTATAAAACTACAATAATCAAAACACTGGTGCAGGAATAAGGATATACAGACCTCTAGAATAGAGTTGAGAGTTCAGAGAGAAACTTCTACATCTATTGTCAAGTAGTTTTCCACAAGGATGCGAAATCCATTTGATAACAAAGAACAATCTCTTTAACAAAAGGTGTTGGGGCAGAAGAGTGAAGTTGAACCTCTATCTTAGATACAACCACATTAGTATTCACTGTAGCATAATTCATGATAGCCAAAAAGCAAAAAACTCAGTCCATCAATAGAAAGTGTATAAATACAATGTGATCCGTTCATACAACAGAATATCATTCAGCCATTAAGAGGAATGAAGTCTTGAAGCATGTCCAAGCATGGATGAACTTTAAAATATTGAGCGAAATAGGTCTGAGAAAGGACAAATACTGGATGATCCCACCTCTATGAAATGCCTAGGACAGGAAAATGCATAGAGACTAAAGCAGTTAGAGGTCATCAGGGGCTTTGGGATGGGAGAGAAAGGGGAATTACTGCCTAGGGGGTACTTGAGTTTCTGTTGGGGCAAAGAAAAACTTTTAGAAAACAGCGGTGAGTGTAGTGTCACTGAAAAGTACACTTAAAAACTATAATAGCAAACTTTTTGTCATATGTATTATACCAGAATAAAAATTTTAAATGTGCACAAAAAACTTGGAAATAAAAATTGCTTTAAAATATTTGAAAAATGCATGTCGAGGATCCAAAAGTTGTAAGTACATTAACTTGTGGATGTAGTTATTCACTTCCAAGCAAATTGCATTTTTGGAAAGTTAACTAGAATCCTATATTTTCAAATTCATTTAAAATGTCTTAAGTCCAGAATACTGATAATGGTTAAAAAGCATAACAGCCTCACATACACAAAACCCAAACTTAATGAAAAATGGGTAAAAATACCTGATAGCAGAAAATGCTTTAAAAAAAAAGTTTCACTG